AAGCTAAACAAAGATTTGCAAAAGTATTTGGTCTTGCAAAGACAACAATAAATAAAGCAATTGAATTGGACTTAGATGAAAAGTTAATTTCGATTCTTGAGAATTTTCAAGAAACAGAAATCAAATAAATGCTTACTATTAATAATACGACTTACACATAATTTAATGAATCTGAAAAGGAAAATTTTGTTGTTGTTGATGAAAAAAGTAATTCAGAATATAGAAAGAGATATGAATCCAAAATTAATGTTAACGATATACATAAAAGACCATTTTTAGCTGTTGAAAATCCAGTTATAAAATGTCAAAAAGGACGTATACAAATGGTGCGTAGAATAATTAGTAATGTTGAGAATCAACAGCCACCTGTAGTGCAGAAATCCAGAAGCGTTACATTTACTTATTGTCATGAAATAGGTCATAATATTAGGCATTGCAAAGCAAGAATTACTAATGAAAAATAATTTGCTTATTGCTTTTATGTGAATGGGATGATGAGGTGTATTTTATAACAAAGTCAATAAAACTTTATTATATTAATAAATTGAATCATTGTATTAGAAATTGAAAAAAAACTCATATTTTAATTGGTTAATTTAATAATTGTATCACATTAATAATTGTATTACGTGATTTAATCAAATATCACATGGTGTACACTGAGTGTACAGTGCACTGTTTAACAAAATTCTAATAGTTTATGAATGATTATCAAAGTAAATATAACATTTATTTCTGAATATGATATTTAAATATTGAAATAATTTGAGTTTTAATCTAATAATATTATTTAATCTAATAATTATAATTTAAAATTTTTTTATTTAATTTTATAATTTCAAATTTATTATAGTAAATAAAATAATAAATCAATTGAATAATATTTTATTAATGAAATTCTTTTTAAAGTTAAAAATAATACAAGTTTCATTTGAAAATAAATTATCAATCCATTTTTTATTTATTTATAATCTTTCAATTATATCAATCAAAAAATCACAAATATGAATAATTATTTCTTATTTTTTTTCGTAAAGCTTGTTTATTTTATCTTTAATCTGATTTCTATCTATCATTTAATTAAAAGGTTATTTAATTATTATTAATAAGATTATATAATTAGTGTTTACTTTAGGATTAGTCTTAATTTTAAATTCATCAACAATAAGTTTTAGCATTAACTTTTAATAATAATATAACAATATTTAAAAATATAAATATTAAAAAAAATTATAATGTAGATAAATTAATTAAAAGTAAATTTATTAAATGAATATAGATTCAAACAAATTACTTTGCTAAGTAATATTATCTCTTTATAATCATACTTATTGTTGACATTAGAAATCAATCTTTTTGTACTAACCATTAGTGAGCTATAGAATGATAATGATTAATAATAAACTCCTGATTTTTCCAATTTTGCAGATTAGTTTAATATGTCTGAAATTTTTGATTTCGCTAATTTTTATTAATTTTATTATAATTATTATTTTACTTATATTTGTTATATTGTATATATTTATTATATATTATATATTAACATTTGCAGTTACAAATTTAATTAGTTTTTAAAGTAGTAATTAGTTAATCATAACAAATTTATTTTGTATAATAGAATAACTTTCTGCTCAAGTTGTAAATTAACTCTTTTGTGAGTTTTCAACTCTATTATAAGTTTAAATAATAAATAAAGGAATCAACTTTAAAAAATAATCACTTTTTCCTTTTACATGTTTCTCATCTAGGATTAGATTATAAACCACTATACTAGCTTGCTTTTAAGTTCATTACTAAGAATAAATAAATTCTCTAAATTCTTCTGAGTCCTTAAACCCTTAATTTGTAAATTTAAATAAAGTATTTCCAAGGAATTCTGGATATCTGTAGGATGCAAGATTCCCTAAGGCTGTAAAGTCTAACAATAGGGCACTTACTTGCCACAGTAAAGTACCTTAGGCAAAAATGTGTGAAGAGAATTATTACTGGTGATATTATACATTCCTTTTTATATCAACTAAAGACAAATTCTCTTTTTTTTAACCATTTGAATTGCTGTAGATTTATTATAAAATATAAGTTTTTTAGTAATATGTATATAAATAAAGTAATGCAATAAATACTTGATATTAATTATGTTTCTATGCTAATAAAAAAAGGTTGATAACCAAAAATTAAAAAAATATTGGGGACTATCACATGAAGTTAGTATTAGAAATAATGGGGAAATCATCTCCGAGAACTTGAATTCATAGAGCGATTATAAAATCGATTTGAAATCATTTTTGAAAAATTTGAAGGTTCGTTCAAATTACTTCGTGAAAAAATCCTCAGAAAATATTTATTTTTGGCCAAAGTGCCCGATCATTTTAGAGAAGTTGGTGTAATAAAAGCTCATGATATGACATTTTATGTAACTAATTTTACATGCTATATTAGTTATTTATGTATATTCCTTTTTTTTAAAAGAAAAATTAAGATAAAGAAAAAAGAAATAAAAAAGAAAACAGAAATAAAGTTTTTATCAATCTTATCATTGGTTAAATGCTAGTAATATAAATATCAATTAACTTAATTTTTATTTTCTAAAATGTTTCAAATTGGTTATTAAAATGAAAATTTGAAGCAATACTACACGTCATTCAAAATATATACTTTATTAATCATAGCATAATCTAATTCTAGAAATACAAGTATAATCATATATAAAATCTCTATTTATTTAAATGAGGAATATAACTAGATTGGGGTTTGGTAACGTTAGAATTAATAGAGTTCGAAAGGTCATTTACCTCACCTCCTTTATTAAAATCCACATATTCTTGTGGTATTCCCTCCTCTTCATCCCCTTGATCTTCAGCATTATAAGGAGAAGGAGGTTGATACAAAAATGGGGAAAGGGGCGCCCTACTTATCAAACCAACGCTACTCCTCCTTCCATCATTTGAAAGGAACAAGGCAGGAGTTTGTGGTGGACTAAAATTATGTTTTTCATCATTATTATTCCTGGATAGTCTTAAACCTGTTTCACTTTTTAATGAAGTGTGACGTGGCGTTAAATAAGATTTAAATAAGATGGCTACTAAATCGTGAATTATCATCAAAAAACTTGTCGAAAGTGCCAAGAGTGGAAGAAGCTTTAAAGAAAACGTATGTTGTGTATAATATATCTACAATAAAAAAATTAAATATACAGTATATAAAAATTCGGTTCATAATTTTTTTTTTTTTTTTTTTTTTTTCAGAACAATCACTTTCACGAAGTATATATAAATCGTACCAGAATAATTAATTGCCCCACATCTTGAATGATCATAATAAATATTCCAAATAAATTCATAATAGTACTTTTTTGAACCCATAATAATTTCGCACCAAAAAATTCTTTGTAAAGTAATCTACTATCAATCAATTTAAATAATTCAATGTGTATCAAAGACAACAATGAAATCAATATTGTCGATAAACGATTGTCTTTAAACCAACATTTGAATGAAATATTTTGAATCCGTTCATGATGAATTAACGTTAACGTATATGTAAAATTTAATAATGGCGTTAATGCAATGATCAACATGCTTCGTTTGATCGAAGAAGGAGATTAGTTTTGAATTTGTTTATATAAAAAAAAAAGAAACCGTTAAAAAAAAGAATTGCCTACCTTGTTGAAAATAACCATGAAATTTCACTTGCATACAATATCATAAATAAAATATCAAAAATCCAATCTAGAATAATTAAAACAACACTAAAAACTATAAAATTTCGAGCCTAAGATTCATTTAAAGAGTGATTAATTTATTTCTTAAAGTTTATTAAATACAAAAAGAGGTTCCAAGTTTTCATACCTTTGGATATCTCTTCTTAATTTTAAAGTATATTATACTTAACGCTACCATAATTCCAAAACTTATTGAGAACGCGAAGATATATTGATTCATCACATCAACTGTCAAAAAATTGGGGTTTATTTAGCATAGTATCAAATATATTAAATTCATTTCATAAAATTCCTTGAATCAACTTACTTTTGTTTTCGTAAGAGTTTTCATCTACAACTCTATAAGCAATATTTGATTCACATGATGATGCACACACAAAATAAAGCAGGGACACAATTTTCCAACCAGCAGTAGAAAGCATTATTAAAAATTTGTTTTATTCATTAAAAAAATATAAATATAAAAAAAGATTTAATTTCTCTCTACGCTAGAAAAAAATTAAATTTTTTTTTTTCTGAAGCCCTAAAGTATTTATAATAATAATAAAAAACTATTTTTAATATACTGTATGTAGGAAATCATTTATTTATTAATAACAAAGTTCATGTTGGCAAACAAAAATCCAACGACGCTTGCGTTGCAGATCACATGCAGATTTCTCAGCCACTGAGCCACAGAATATATGAAATGTTTTTTTTTTAATAATAAATGAATTTTATATTAACAACTAATTATACAACTTCTGAGATTTAATCATGCATTAATATATGATCTTTCTTTATTTGCTTTTACTAGATATTATGTGGGATATATCACAAGAGTGATTTGTGGATTGTAATTTACATAAGCATGGTACACAATTAATTTTTATGCAATCGTGATCGACGATTCAGTTAAATGGCGCTTGTTTAACATTAAAAATAAGTATTTCGATTAATTTTCATTTTTAAAAAAAATATTTTATTTATATATGTTTCATGAATTTACAAAAACGGAAATTACAAATAGCCATTGTAATTGTAACATTGTTAAATAAACTGCACGTGACATGTACAATTATTTGCACTTTGATTTTTTTATTGTTTACATAGCCTTAGTGGAGAAAAGAATTAAATAACGGAGTCAGATAGTTAATTGGAAACTTTTTTCTAGGGGTTGATTGTACCAAATGCACCCGAAATTAAACTATCGTATCAAGTTCAATTAACATTGTAATATTTCCATATGTTTATAGTGGCACGAATTCATCATGAATGTTCGTACTGATATCCTTTTTTGGTTAATATTAGTACGTCAAGATTGAAAGATATAATTTTTTTTACCTTTTAAAACTTTTTTTTTTCCGGTAGTTATTCATTTCGAATCCATGAAACTTGGCTTGGTCATATTTTTCTATTGGAACAAATTTGATTCCTTGAAATAGTTATGTAAAAGTTATAGAAAATTTTGGTCATTACAATGCAATGAGACTAATCAATTTTTCTTTAAATAGAAATTATTAATACAAACGCTTACTTCATAGTTCAACAAATCAGTTTCCATTTTCCGATAGTTCGCTCATTTCACAATTTTATTGATGTTGGTAGATTGCGTTTAAATAATCGGAACTCGCTTTTTATATAGTTAAAAAGATAATTAATATCATTTCATTTGTTAATAATACGTTTTAAAAAACTAATCTGTTTTAATTAATAAATATTTATAATTAATAATTTCGTCAATTTTTGAGCAATCAAATCAATCAGCTGACAAAATTTTTGTTCGCTAATATAGTGTAACATAATCGAAATAAAATAAAAAAAATGTAGTGCTACGCGCCGATCATTTTGATTTTCAACTCTTAACGTTAAAATTTTTTTTTTTGATGCAACTTTTTAAGCTTAAAAATCATATATTGAGACTTTACCTAATTAAAAGGTTTTGAAATGTTGCCTAGATTATTGTAATCTCAAAGAAATTCAAAAAAAAAATCCGAATTTAATACTTTTATGACAGAATTTTTTTAAAAATAATAACTTATTTTATTCTTTTCAATAAACCGTTAAATACATAAATACTCTTTATCAAAATAAGAAAATATTATTAAATTAAAATGACAAGAGGGAATTCATTAGAACAAGATTTGAGATTATTAATCAACAACCCAAAATATAGTGATATAGAAATTCTTTGCAAAAATGAAAGGAAATTATTTGGTTGCAGAGCTATTTTGGCCGCAAGATCTGAAGTATTTGACAGGTTACTTTATATTAAAGTAGGAGAAAGTTATGAGAAACAAATTACTTTTTCAAAGATTAATTCTTCTGGAATGAAAGTTATATTAGAATATATTTATACAGGAATTGTTAAAGATGAATCTTTAACCAAAGAAAATATCGTTGAAGCTTTTATTGCTGCAGATTACTTTCAACTACCGGACCTTCAAGATTTTATTTTGAAGACTGTTAAAAATACCTTAGAAATGAATTCTAATGATAATTATTCACCAGAATTATTATCTAATATTGTTGATACGATGTCATTGACAGAAGATAACATTCTTTCTAATCTGTTAGTTGACGCAGTATCAACTATTCCTTTGAATACTATTGGATTTGGCCGGTTATCTATAGCAGCACTTCGGTTCCTTTTATCTTGTACATATGAAAAGGAAAAATATTTCGTAACCTCAGAATATGAAGTTTTTCGATATAGTGTAATTTTAGTTGCAAGACAAGTTTCTAATGATGCTACGGAATCCCTTTTGAAGCAATTACCTACTTTGGAACAGATAGATCACTTAAAGAAAATTGATAATGTGCTTATCCCGGATCACCATAACGTTGCTAAAGAATTAGAACCTTTGATAAAATTTATTGATTTCAGACGAATTAAAAGCCAAATATTAGCCAATATCATTGAGCCATTGAACATTATTCCAGTTGAAACAATTATAAATGTTTATCGACATAAGGCCATTTCAAAGAGTACAGATTTTAACGACTTTAATGAAGTTCGTGGACTTTTACCAATATCTAACAAATCTGATTATGTTTGGGATGAGAGAGGGTGTGGATCAAATCTTATTATTGAAGATGACGGAAAAATTGTACGAGCATCGAATGCTTGTAAAGATCACCAAAATGTTAGATTTAAGGTAGCATTAGAAAATAAAGGCATGTTTGAATGGGATGTTATTATCGAGAAAAATTGTTCAGCCGCTTGGGTTGGTGTGTGTGCATCAGAAAATTTTGATTATGGAAGGTTTGGAGGTTTTCAATGTACCGCATGGTTATTGAGTTCCAATGGTACAATTATTCATAATAATGTACATAAATCTGGTTATTGTCCAACATTTAAGGGAGATAATAACAATGTTACTGTACATTTAGATATGAATAAACGGACCTGCTCATTTACTGTCAATGGTGTAAAATATACAGTTTCAGAATGGAATAATCTGCCATCAAAGCTCTACCCTGTAGTTTCAATTAATTATCCTGGCCGGTTTCGAATTCAATTTCATTAAGAATAATTTTTAGTAAAATCATCTCTACAATATATTGTAAATGTATAAATAAAATTACAATTTCGTGGTTAATTATGTAATTATGTAACTTTAATTAATTAGTCAATAATATTTTTTATCTAATTCTTAGATTTAAAGATTTTAGCTTAATTTTCCACAGAAATTTGAAAGTCATTAGGATCTTCTGCAAATGGTCGATTTGTTTCAAAAAAAAATTAAGTTGTCAACAAAAATGGAAATCCTCTACAGATATACATTTGATTTTACATTATCAAGTGGATGGGCTTTGAAAGAAAGGCAGAAATTTGGTAAAAAAGGAGGGAAAATGAATAAGCAAACATGTAATTCCATATCTTGAAGCGTATTTTTTGGCTGGAGATATAAATAAAAGTAAAAAAATATAATTAGATAACCCGATATGCATAGGCCCACCGTAAATTAGTAAAAGTGTATTGTTTTCATAAAATAAAAATGAAATATTGAATTGCAAATTTATTCGTTATATTTCTAGTCAAGAATCTGATGTTTTATTTAAAATATAGCGTGAATGTTCGTTTGTGTTATACAACTAGCTTAATTCAAAAAGGCAAATTAAGATTAATTTACAAAATTGGAATAGCAGTTTCTCTACTCTATTTTAAACACTGATAATAAATAATAAAAATAAATTAGTGTTACCAAAAATAATTCATAAACAAAAAAAAAAAAAATTTAAAATCGTTGCAGCCCAAAGCTATCAAAGAAAATAAAATCAATCAAAACAAATAATTAAAATAATAAATAAAGAAAAAAAAGCTTACTTGATACTGAACTAACATCTAATTTGATTGAGAAGAAACAACTTAAATAAAAATCATCTCTTAAAAGTAATCACAATAATTTTTATTTCGATCTAACCAGATTTAGGTTAAAAGAATTTTCGAAACAAAATTTTCAAATAAACTTTTTAAAATTATTTGTGAACAGTAAACGAATTATATTACAAAATATTTTTTTTTTTACTAAACTGTTTTAACTTCCTCTCCTTCTTTTTATGCAAAAATTTCAATTTTAATAGCACACCACCCATATTGTTACTATCCTTTAGTTCAAAACAATATCTAATTTTCAAATAAATTTTCTATTATGAGTTTATAATTTTTACATTTTTGACATTTTATAGCCATGCGTAAGGTATTGTAGTACTAATAGCTGGTTTCTATACGAACATAAATTTTATGAAGTTAGGTCGTCTTTAAATACTCTGACCCTTAAGAAATTAAGAAATGACTTTCAACTACCCTAGCAAAAAATTCCTACTCGTTCAATAATTAATACTTGTTGTTTAAAACACAAAATTTATTTATTTTATTTATAGGTATTTTGGCATTCGATATAGTTGTTACTGAATTTTTGACGATCTGTGACATGATATTGTTAGAAAAAGATGTTTGGCATTCTTTACAAGAGATTATAGTTTCTTTCTGTAAGTTTTGGAAGCATAATAAATTATCATCATCTTTTTCTTCGTTTTGGTCTTTCAACTGTCCAATATTACTGAATGCCGCCATTTATCAAATAGGACGAAAATAGAGTTGTAGAAATTTACGATGTTAAGGTGAGTGAAATTCTCATAGGTATTGCTACTTGGGAATCTGAAGTCACATAAACGGCCGTGTTACATAATCTAGTGCTGTAAAATATGTAAAATATATACACAAAAGGAATTCGAATTTTATTAAAATCCTAATTAATGAAATAAATAAAAATTTTTTTTTAAGAATTTTTATAACTATAACGGGTGATTAACATCACAGGTACCGTTACTTTTCTTTATTTAATTTAATTTTTTTTTTTTGTTTTCTAAATTTATATTTTTTGTAATAGAATTTTTTATATGTACGTTTTAAATTAAATTTTTAAAATAATTAATTTTTATATACTGCGATTAATTTCCTTAATTAAATTTTTTTAACAAATAAGTCTTTATACTATAATTTAAATATTATTTCTATTTTAATATACAATCATATTATTTACATATTTATTCATTCTATATTATCTAAAATATTAAATAAAACGAACAGCATAGTTTGCATAAACACTTGTGAGCAAATATTCATTTTTGTTTGATTTTATCTGTACAGAATTCGCTTACAACCTTTAACCTTTCTAATAAATAGGTCAGAATATATACGGCATTTATTTTTTTTTTGACTTTTTATACATATATATAAATATCACATTTATTAAAAAAATTATTGATTGTATCCGGTTGATTTGAAATTGAGGTGGATGTATGTGAAAATAAATAAAATATAGGTCATTTGTTGTGTAAGATACCCATTACATGTAAAACATCTTAATTATAGTATAATTGTGGCTTATTATGGTTCATAAACATAACATATGTATATGTATAAATTGCTTAAGATGAGCGAAACTTTATTTACATTTTTTTAATAAGTTGTTAAATAATAAAATAACAAAAGAAGAGGATAATATAAGATATGATTAAAAGATATGCTAAAAGATATTTTAAGCAAATAGGAATTGGTGAAGAATGTATTGATATAGAAATATTAGTATTAATGTGGTAAAAAAGGTATCAGTCCAAGTGTTGTTGCCAGTAAATCACATTACGGATCATATGATTTACTATATCATGTGACTTGATTTTACTGGCAACGTTCTCATATTTAGTAATGCAAAAAAATAAATATTATATATCTACAGAATTTAGTTTATTCTTGCAGGCTTATTTTTGCGATGATTCCCGTATTATAGATAATTCATTATAGACTCCGGGTTATAGTTGGTAATTCTCTTTTCTCCTTTCTACTAATTTTATGTTATTGCAATGGGAGCCCGAACCTCCTATATTTGAGGAAGCACTGTTCCTTCATACTGTATTCGTCCGTTATAAAAGCCGAATCCAGTCATAATTTTGTTCTATATCAGAGGGGACCTCTATCCTTTCCAATTATTGATGTATTGTTAAGAGGTATTTAATAACACTTGGTCAAAATCTTTACTAAAAAACTCAGTTCAATTCAATTTTGAACTAAATTTTCTGGTAAGCTCAGTAAGTCCAACACATTCCATCCGTCTCAATATCGGAAACAATCTTGAGGTAGCAGTATTTCTTAGCTTATTTTTAGAATTATTTTGCTCTAGAATAAATAATAAAGTATTATTTACTGTATATGCTGTATTTATCGATACAGTTATGAAAGTTTGAATTAGAGCAGGTAGGTTTTCATCTTTCAAATAAAATAATAATTGTAAATAATTGTTTTAGGGATAATTAATAATATTGAAAACATATAAAATATAAAAAGATGGATTAAATCTATCGCTTGAAATTATTAAATTCAATTAACAACACTTCCATTCGACCTTTTATATTTACAGGAAAAGTATTTTGTAATCAAATACTCCTTTATAGTCTGATAACTTTGGTTCTTTATAATAGATGTTAATGATATTATGATTCTCTTGATGTTCTGTTCCAAACTTTATTTAAATGAACATTTTGGATGGAAATGGTATGAACTTTTTGACTATTTCATTTATATAATTGATTATCGATCAATTATGGATCTTGTCTTCCATAGATCAATAATTTTTGAGTTTAATACCTTGAAAAGTTAGGAACAATTCTTATTCCATGAAAAAAAAAAGCATGTTCTTATCGAAGTGCTTAATGCCAAGAATTTAGAATTCTAAGTAAAACCGACCGTATTAAGTGCTTAATTTAGTCAGAAATCGAACATATATAAGAAAAACAAAGAAATGAACGTTTGTTAAACTTAAGAAAGTATTTTTGTTATTTCTTATTTTGTGGCGGAAATTGTGGGTCTTCACATTTTAAGCCAAAAATCCATTACAATCGATAATAAATTATTCAGGTTAAAATTTTTTTTTATACCACTATATAACATAAAAAAGATTTTGAAAATGAACTGTTTCGTATAATAATATCCAGAAATTGTCAATAAATGGCACCATCATTTCTTGCTCAAGTAATGTAATGAAAATGGAAGTTTGTATTTTAATACATTTCGAGATTAAGTTCATTGGTATGTATGCTGTTTAGTGCCAAATGTTGCCATAGCGAATTTTGATAATGGAAGAGATTTTTCGACACATCTCTGAATTTTACAAAAAAAATAATAATAATATACAACTATTATCTTATGAACACATCAACCGAAATGTTGTTACAAATTCTTAAAAAGTTCGTAGTTCAATTCAATTAATAGATTCATTAATACGAGAGATACATTACATTAAAAGTAAATAATCAAAATTTTTTAAGAAATTATTAATAGTTACATTAGCTTACTCACTTTCTTAAATTATGTAAAACTGTAAAAAAAAAGATTTTCGTAAACTTTTGTTGTATTGCTGATTGAAATTTCAAATTTTTCAAATTTAATTCTTTTACAAACTAGAACTGTTATTATATAAAAGATCTCTTTATTCTTTATTTTATTTGTTATAGAAAGCATGCAATTAATAATAAAATTTGTTAAAAAATTTATTATCATTTTGATATATTTAAGTGAGATAAATCACAAGGCCATTTACTATTTTTTTTTTTTTAATTGGCCGTGTCATTCCGACGACTGTAATTTCCTAATCGCGGGCTTTATTGAATAATTAATATGGACTGCTTCAATAAATTGTCCTTTGTCATACAATCACTTGAAAAGAACGATTTTCATTGTTATGAAGCGAAGTATATAAATAATATTTATTGAAATGACGGTACACTTACTATGAGTTAATAATTTCTAAGCACTTTCGGGTCTTTTCTGACATCTTCAGAGCTCATTTCGGTCATTTCGGCAATCAATAATTTGATCATCCAAATTTAAGCAGTGATTGTTAAGAAAATCCGTACCAAAGCATCATGAGGGAAAAATTGTTATAAAATAAGGATGTTTAGCTTTTACTTTCTTTGATTAGATTAAATTAACCTTTTTCCTGAAGTCTTATTACGTCCTATTACAGAGCGTCGGTTGAAACTGTAATAGTTGACCATTTTTGTATATCATTTAATACTAGTTGGTTTCTTTCTATTCTTTAAATATCGTTTATTGTATTTTGTCAATGAATAAAAATTGTTGAAACTTATATCGTTTTCATACTATACTAAAATCTAACACTAGCCTCCTGTAAAAATAGGAAGTGACACTTGCTGTAATTTCTAAGTAAATCCGTAAAGTAGGCAATTTAACATATGATTTTGGGAGATTTGAAATAATAAGCACTAGTTTTGAGATAATTTGTAATAACGTTTATGAAATTAAAATAATTTTATAACTTTAAACTCTCTATCAAAGATTGTTCAAAAATGCACGGTTTATATATCTGTTCTATCAATGCGGAAATTTAAGTTCTGTAATAATTATTTGGTGCAACTTCGAATGAAATTTTAAAATTATCGAATTGTTTTGGTATATTTGATAACGCTTGGTTTCAAATATTTGTTATAGCAATAACTGTTAATGTTATTTAATAAACCTTTTTTTAAAAACAAAGGAAGACTTCTAATTCGCACAAAATAATCGTCGTTTAAGAGGAACTTTGTGCGCGATCAAAAGTTGAAAATTACACATTTTAAAAATGAAAATTGAAATATAAACAATCTAATAGAAACTAGGAAAACAATTTGGTAAGTCATAAATAATATACAATTTAATACAATAAAAATTTCTGAATTGAATTCTCATTTTATTAATGCTTGCTCTTAGCCAGATATAGATTAGACTATAAATGACACCACTAGAGATGGCGAACTTCGTTTAGGCAAAACCATGAGCTTCATTAAATGAAGCATTTGATTCATCATTACTATTTTCAATTCATGACGCAAGGAATATCGTAATTTCGCCTTTCATAGCGAAAGGAATATTATATTTTTAGCCTTTCATGGAGAAAGGAATAAAGGAATATTACAAGTTTGTCTGTCGAAGTCTTCGTCTTATAAAGGAGGAATCATAATTGGAACCTTATATTCCAGTAGATCTTGATCAGCTGTTTTTTAAATAACCTTGAGGTAGGGATTGGAATCGTTTCAAAAATCAAAATCGAAAGTCGAATCTGCAAAAATGTAATAATTTATAAAACACAATTTTAGAGCTTCATTTATAATTTTATTGTTAGAAAATAAATGTTTAAAAACAAATTAATCAAAAAATTATGTTTCGCAAGAAGTGTCTATCACGTGACATGCTTGTTAGGTGTTTTATTCGATTTAAAACTTTTTTTACAATTACTGTATATATACTATTTTCACTAAAATTAATTTCAGAGTTAACTCTCGAATAATTGTAGTCCACCGACTTTCGATTCCGAACCCTACTTTGAGGGTAGGAGGAAATAATTGGGAAAAAATGTTTATAACTTTTATGTACGAAAAACTGTCTTCGCAAAAGAGGAAAGAGGTAATAAGTAAAAAAGTAAGAAAAGACAAAAAAAAGGGATGCATTCAAGAAAAAAATAGAAAAAAAATGATAAGGGAGAAAGTGTGTTCCTTTTATAAGAAAGCAACGCGAGCGTTTGTTAAATAAGATAAGTCACGCTGTTCGTAAAATTTGATGTGACGTAACAAATATAGTAATATTAAGGCTACATGGTGCATCAAGAATAGACATGCGTCAACTTACACAAGGAAAATATTCTGGAACTATCTAAAGAATCTTCAAAACGTGGCAGATCTTAAGTTTTGCTTTGAAGCATTGTATAAAAACAAAAAAGGCTTCCATGTTGATCTTTGTATATGGTAACGTAAAGTTTTTTTATTATACGGAACTGTTGATCAGATTTTCGTGATGCGATAAGATGGATAGATTGGATAGATTATTCGGAGGAAAAAAATTAAAATTTTAGGTAACGTTTGATAAATATTTCTTTGAATAACAAATGAATTAATTTACAGTGTGTAATCATATTTGAATTTGACATGTGAAAGTCTTAACGATTGACAAAAACTTCAATAAAACCTCTGTTGTGTGTCGCCCTTAAACTTGCCATAAAAATTAAATTACATTATGACTGATAGTATTGGTAAATTTGAAAAGTTAAATAATAAATTAACGAGCCTGCTAGAAGAAAATAAGAAACTTAAACAACAACATAAAGAAACCTTGCGTATAAATTCGGAATTAGATGAAAAACTTAAAGAAAGCAATGAAAAAGTCGTACTACAGGCTCTAAATTTAGAAAAGCAATTAGAAGAAATTAAGAGCCTCAATCAACAACATAAAAGTCTTCAAGAAGAAAACCAACGCATAAATTCAGAATTAAAAGAAAAACTTCAAGAAAAAGATGAGCAATTGAAAAAACTTAAACAAAAACTTCTAATTTTGGAAAAACAAAAAAATGAGTTTGAAATAATGTCTCAAAATTTAGAAAAAGCTCTAGAAATTTTGGAATTAGACGAAATTAATGAAAATGATGATAAAACTTTTAAAGAAAAAATTAGTCCTTTAATTAGTGAACAACATAAAAAAGAAACCACAACCTTTCCTTTAAACGATAATGACGGTATTGAACTATCGCAAATTCCTCCAAACTATCTTGGAGCTCTTATGCAAAAGGTATGTAATTAAACGTAAACGAATTGATTGAATGCAGTTTTATTTCGATTTAAATTGAAATAAATCATCTATATAAATTGTTAAGATGAATTTCGAGTCGTCGTTGGGTTAGACTATGGAACAACTTTTTCTGGATTTGCTTATTGTCATGTTAAGGCTCCTCCGGATGGGATAATTGTACAAGATACTTGGCATGATTATCATGGCAGATTTAAAACTAATACGGCACTAAAATACGATAATGAATATAAAAATGTAATATCATGGGGCGCTCCAGCTTTAGCTAAAAGACAAATTCGTAGGAAACAAACAGTTAAAGCTAATAAACCAGTTGAATTATTTTAATTACATCTGGTTAATGAATCGGATGATAAACCGTGGCTTCCAAACGAATTAAATTATAGACAGGCCATAACTGATTATTTAAGAGAAATCGGAAAGGTATCAAAACCAAAAATAATTAAATGTATATTTATATTAATTTAAATGATTAATTTACTTTAATAATGAAATTTTTAAGGTGATTAAGGAGGTAATTGGATACTCATGGGCTCCTATTGATTCAGTAACGTATTATTGGTTCTTACGGTTCCAGCAGAATTTTCAAGTAATAAAATAGCGATTATGAGAGATTGTGCATTTAATGCAGGATTACTTAAAGAAAGACGATCAACAAATTTACAATTCACTACAGAAGGTGGGAATTTTATTTTTATATAAATTTATAATTATTTATTCTTTAATTTAATATGTTGTATAGCTGAAGCCGCTGCAATATCTTGCATGAAACAGCTTCGAGAACATGGTCTTAAAGCAGGAGGTATGCATATATTTAAACCAGGTTTATATTGATCTATATTCATTAAACTCATCAAAATAATTTACAGATAATTTCATGGTTGTCGACTGTGGTGGTGGTACAGTGGATTTGACCATTCGTAAATTGATAAATGATAATCAAATGAGTGAAACTACCGAAAGAACTGGTGATTTCTGTGGAAGCACGAATATTGACAATGAATTCATCAAACATTTAAGCAGAATACTTGGGCATAATGCCATGGAAATGTTTAGAGAAAATCATTATGAACAAATGCAATATTTAATTAAGGAATTTTGTAAAAGTTGTAAATTACCTTTTAACGGAGAAGAACAAGACTTTAGTAGTTATGAATTGGATCTCGACCTATCTGTTCCTATGCTAAAAAAATATATTACTAATGATATGATAGAAAAAATAGAAGAAGATGAAGGGATAATTGAAATAGGTTTTAATGACATAAAATCAATGTTTGACCCTGTTGTTGAAAAAATTTTACGGCTGATTCGTGCACAACTCGATAATTGTTCTGAAACCATTTCGGCAATTTTTTTAGTTGGAGGTTTAGTGAATCAAAATATTTATTTAAAAGAATTAAACAAGAATTTCAACAAAGAGTACGTAATATTTTAATTCCTGGTATTCCTACGACTGCAATTGAAAAAGGAGCTGTGTTGTATGGATTATCCTCCATGAATTCAGATTTAAATGTAATTGCTTCAAGAGTTCTTAAATATACTTATGGGGTTAAAGTAAGAAAATTCTGGGTAAGTTTCATAATAGATAATTTGTTAAATATTTAGTATTATGTAAGACTCATTGTTCATTTACTTTAGACAAAAAATGATCCGATTGATAGAAAAATCTATGATGAGCGTATTGATAAATTTGGTTGTTTAGCCAAGCGCGGTACTCCAATGAAAATTAATCAGAAAATAACATGTTCTTTTTTACCACTTTATCCCACTCAAACCAAAGTAGTCTTTTATCTTTATTATACTAAAGAATATGATGCACAATATTGTGATGAACCTGGTATGAATCTTTTAGGTATACTTACCATTGATCTTTCTGGCTCAGGCCTTGATAATCTTTCTTTCGGGTTGGCTTTTGGACATATGGAAGTTTCCGCCACTGCAATTAATGAAACTAAAGGAAAAAGTTATGATATTAACTTTGAATTCAACGTCTAAAAGGTCATTATGTTAAATTACGAATCATATTATTATGTTCGGTAACTTGATTTTTATTCATCCCATTTTGGTTTGAACGTTTTTTATTTATTTGGATTATTATTTTCACCAAAATCCAACGTATCTATTATTTTATAAATACCGTATGTGGTTTTCATTAAAATTTTTTTATAAATAATGACATAAAAAATTATAAATAAAATTTTATCAACTCTATTATTAAATACAACTTTTGTAACTTTAAGTCTAGAAATTTTGAAAGTTGAAAAAAAAATTCTATTTTTATTTTGTTTTTTTTGATTTGTATCTGTAATATTAGCAACAAAAAAGTTAAATTTCAAATTACAAATTTTCTATAATAATAAGGTTACAAATATTTATATCTCATCATATACAGTTTGGTGGAAATAATAAAACCGTAATATCAAATATCAGTATTTAGAGATAGAGGTCAAACTTTATATACAAGCAAGTTTATTAAGTGATATAAACTTTAAATATCTTGAATAAATTGACGTAAAATTTTTTTTTGATTTACAATAAAGATACAATTGACATGTGCGTAATTTAAAACTTCTTTTGTAATGGTCACTTTATCCTACTCAAACAAAAGTAGTTTTAAATCTATATTATACTAAAGAATATGATGCGCAATATTGTGATGAGCCTGGTATTGTTACATTTAATAATTATATGTATTACTTGTATCGAAAGACATATTGATTTTATTAAATAAACATTTATT